TTAAAATATCGATTTGTGTAATTATTGATTGTATTCTAAGACATGGAACAAACGCACATTATACTCGTGATTTATTCTTGTGTGAGTATAATTACCTTCGTCATATTCATACTCTCATGCAATTAAATAGATACATTATAACATCCATCGGGAAACTTCGATTATATGTATACAGTACAGTACTCTCTAAAAATATTACAGGATTTTATTTTGCTTCTAAAATACGTCTTCAATGTACTGGATACAAAATGGAGGAAATACGTTCGACCAAGCGATAAATTGTGGATTAACAGTATAGGTAAGTTATCGTGGTCTCATTTTTTCGCACAAGCATTGCTGTTTTGCACGAAAGCGTATATCCATTCATCATTGTCTGAATGAGGAAATACGTTCGACCAAGCGATAAATTGTGGATTAACAGTATAGGTAAGTTATCGTGGTCTCATTTTTTCGCACAAGCATTGCTGTTTTGCACGAAAGCGTATATCCATTCATCATTGTCTGAATTATGCGGATCTGCTACATGTTCGATTTAAAGACTCCCTTTATTTGAATACTTGCTCAAAATATACTCAGCCTTGTCACGGGCAAACAAATATATATCTTCATGCGTGAAATTCCAAAATTTGATATTTGACAATTCGTCAGCAGTCTCAACGCATTGGAAAATTATGGTTGCAGTTTCTAGTCACAAAACTAAACCGGCCAATTTTGCAGAAGCGTTGCTCAACGATAATGGAGCGTCTCAATTACGTATAGAAGCGTTCAATCTGGCTTGCAAAAAATTGACATTACTGTATTGGAAAAAAATGGTCTAATATCCTAAAATCCAGACTAATGAAGTGAAAAGATGATCAATCCATTTGACACCGATTGAATCCATTTTTCAAATGAGTACAGTGGGTCCTTAAGTAGCAAATGCCCTCAGCAAAAAATTTCTTACACATAAAGAACCCAGGTTTTGGCGCCATTTTGCATCAAGCAACAACTTTGACTTAATGAACGAACTTCACGTCAAGTGAAGCAAAAATTAAGGGAAAATCATGAATTTTGATTGTGATAATTGTGTGAATAGTAAATTTGCTTTAAATCATGTAACTGTCTGGCCCATTTTGAGGTGGCCACCAAAATATTTTATAATCTCGTTTGTGATTGCAGTATTGGTTCCCTGATTTTTGAGCGCAATTTACTGCTTGAATAATGTCTATAAATCTCAGCATAATACCGTATTCTCAAAAATAAACTCATCCTCGTAGTTTTTGAAAAAATTTTTGAGGGACTGGATTGTGAAACAGGGTATCCTTTTGTATACCACTTATAAAAGTTATTTGAACATTTACAGCAATGAAAGTAGGGTGATAAAACAAGAACAGTTGCATCATCAAAAGTGCCCATTTAAGAATCTCATACACAAAACCCCCTCACAATGGACTTCCCGCACAACTGATTTATATTTACAGAACAGATGGCCTCTGGTGGCGTCTTTTCTTCTCACATAACAGACCAATCCACATAACAGACGTTGTTCTGTATAGAAGTGCATGCCTCAAGTGGGCTTGAGTTCCTCACATCCCCCTTGCTTCCCAACTTCATTTAAATATAAAATGTCATCATTATTGCTGTGAATGTGTGTGTGTGGTTTTTTAGTTATGTGGGTTGTAATCTTGTTTTTTTGTTGCATAAGTGCTGTAGACATATAGGAAAATCAAATTCACATAACAGACTTTTTGAATAACAGACTATTATAGTATGTTGCACAAATTAAGTCTGTTGTGCAGGGGTTGACGGTAGTTGTGATTTCAAAGCCCAGCTGATCAGATCTTGTAATTTATTTTGAATGAGATAATTTTTCTCTGCTGGGTTGAGTGTTCTAGATGCACACCCAATCAGGACTTCCTTTCTTCCAATTTTTTGAGTAAGTACAGCTGTTTACCAAGATCCTAATTTAAATTCGACTTTTCAATTCAGTCATGTTTTTGTTAGAATTGGTTTTCACTTGATTTTTTTTAGATCAGAGATGCCTAAAATTTTCACAAAATGCGCATATACAGTTGAACCTCAATAAGTTGAACTAATCAAAATTCCTCCCTAACTCACATTTTTTTCAAGTCCCTGTTGGAATTCCCTTAGAACCAATGCATTAAAAATCTCCCAAGCTCAAAGTCTTTTTCTCTAAATTATCTGTAAGCCAAATTTTCTGAGGTCATTTAGTTAGTATTTCCTTAAAATATGAAAGATAAAATCATGAAAGCAAATGATCTCATTCATCTTGAAATGAAGTGAAAGACTAATAGAGCAAATGAACCCCTGTCTCCAAGTTCAGCAAGGTGTAACCTCAATAATGAGCAAGTTTAGGCCCAGAATGTACTCATTATTTACAATTTCCCACACTTTTTCCACTTTTCCTGGCTACAAAAGTGTTTGTTTCCTTAACTGGAAACCTCCAGAAATCAAAACCTCTCCAAGTAAAAACCTCCCTTATAAGTAGAATTATTTTCCTGGTCCCTAGAAATCCGACTTACAAGAGGTTCAACTGTAGAGTACAGTAAAAGCTAAGCAGAGCCAAGTGGCAGCAGCGCGCAAATGTCTCCCTCGTCATTTTCGGGGCACCTTTTCTCACACTGGAGCAAAAGTCGCTGTTCGTAATTTTAAAAGCATCGGCGAAAGACAAACGGCGGCTTATTTCTCGCTGCGCCGACGCAAACCTCGTGTCTCTACACACGTGTTCAGGTGCTCTGGTTCCTTCCAAAAATTTCGAGGAAAGAAAAAAATTGTGTGCGAACGAACGAGGAAATATAGACTTCAAGAATATCGCCGTGAAATAAATTTTTAGTAACATACTCAGGAGAATTTTATTCTGAATGCAGCATCTGTAGATTTTTATTTTTTTTTTGCAAGCATACCTTCGACTTCCTGTTCTGCAGATTTTACGTGCGCACTCGCCGTGAAATAAATTTTTAGTAACATACTCAGGAGAATTTTATTCTGAATGCAGCATCTGTAGATTTTTTTTTTTTTTGCAAGCATACCTTCGACTTCCTGTTCTGCAGATTTTACGTGCGCACAATACTTATTTGAACTTAGAACATTTTCCAATTCTTATAAGCAAAAAATCCTTTCACAATTATTTTTTCAAGAAGCTAGTTGCTGGTCGAAGTATTGAAAGATTTGCAGTACAGCCATCATATTTATGAATCGTTCATTTTTTTCATTCTTTTTTAGCGTCATCTGAAGGTCAAAATACGTTCGGTAAAATGGGATTTTTTGCACAAGAAAATATTCCTTGATTCATCCCTCAGAATAATGTTTCTCCGCTACGTAGTATAGCGAAATTCCTCATCAGACTTAATTTCACTTGGTAAAATAGCTGATGTGAGTTTAGTTCAATTAAATACTATAGATATTCAAATAATATTAACGCGCGCAAAAAAAGAAAAAAGTCAAATGGACCAGGCAATCACACGATTATAAAACTTAAAACAATCCGTTCACTTCACACATCATATGTTATAAACGCTCTTTTTTTTAATGCATACTGTTTGGATAATTATTTTTTGGCAGATCCCGTGAGAATCACTGCATCCTTTTGCACAAAAACTCAAGCCTGATGATTTCTAAATTTCTTGCATTTTTCAACAAAAATCGTTGGATACAGTTTACGTGGTCACTACTTTGACGGTCAAGTTTTTTTTTTTTTACCACGTGGAATTTTTTTTTCGGCATCAAACGGAAAAGTACTTGCAATTAAATTAATTCCCGTGTGAATGAGCCAATAATAGTGATTTGGCAAGGTTTTCTTTGTTTTCATCCCGAAAAAGTGCAAGTCAGTCAAGCACCAAGTACGGGATTGGCGTAATTTCTTTCCACAAGTTTGTCGCTTCAATGGATCTCCAAAGCGAAAAACCACGGTTCTTTGTTAATTTTCTATCCCCTAAATTGATGACTTAACATTTCACGGATATTAAGAAAGTTGATATCAATGTCAATGATTCAGCAAAATAATTTGAGGTAAGGTGTGCTAATTGAGTTTTTTTGGACCGTGACTTTCTGTTCCATAGTGATGTAATTAAAATCGACCGCAATTTTGAGTCGATCGTACATTGAGATTTTTCTTTCACATTTTTGTGCGACAGAAATTTCCCAAATAGTTTGCGTACATTTCCTCACCTCAGTCTGGACTCGAACTTTCTCGCAATTTTCGAAGTTTCACGCGAACAGCTAAAAATCAGTGACGGATATTTCTCGCAAGTTCATCATTAATTGCTTTGAAAACACTTTCGAAAATCTATTCATTATTTGCTGCAGAAATCATGACGATGAATAGATTAAAATTGAGGCGCAATCAGAACTTGGAGTGACCGTAACTCTTCGGGAAAACTCAAGAAATGTCTCAGTTCAACTTCGATGCGTAAAAGAAATCCTTCTTCATGTGTTCTGTAAAGATTTGAGTCAATTTACGTCATTTCATGTCAAGGAATGGTATGAAAAATTGCTCGCGAAAAAAATGACCAAGCAAATGCGAGAAATTGTGAAAAATACTGTATTTCAAATTACTGAAATGAGGAAATCGCGATCGGTGACTTTCACGGCAAGTTTGCCTTCATTATACTTAATATTTCGGGCAGACTTCAATGAAATCGAGATAATTATATTCAACGTTTTGCCGCTCTGTCGACTCCAGTTTTTCTAACTTAGAACCGTGATTACTGCAAATCATATTAAATTTCTCTCATATTGTTCGTAGGCGTCAGAAGAAAAAAAAAAAAACACGTTGCTTCTCCTTCGGCGAAACGTCGCTGAATTTTTCTGCAATTTAAAATTTTCGTCGGCTAAATTTCTGAGCATACTCCGGAACGGAAAAAAAATTAATGTTTTTGTCGTGGGTGCGGTTGAGGATAAAAGTGCCAAAAATCGTACTTTTCGCAAGTTCGTCATGATGTTGATAAAACAAGAGGTGTTACATTTCGGATGGATACATCAAGCACGAGAAATTCACCGGGGTTTTTTTTTTTTTTTTGAAGCTCTATTTTTTTGAATAGAAAAAAGTTTTACAAAATCTCGGGCGAAACGATGACGCGGTTAAGATCACGAGACGCGTCAGCAGCAGTCGGCGTCGCGTCGTTGTCGTTGGTGTCAGCAATGTCCGTGTTGCTCCTAGCGACATCTGTGTCATCCCAGCAGCAGCAACAACAACAATACGCGTCGTTACATTCCACGGAGCAGTTTTCTTTCGAAGCCGCCCTGGACGAAATCCAGAGACGACCGTCATCATCATCGCCATCGGGAATTGCTGTCGGAGACGTCACCAGCAGCGAGGAATTGGCTCTTCTTCATCGCCACGAGAATGAGGCACCCAGCAGCAGCAGAACCCGTGCTGCTGCTGTCGCCGGGTTGCAGGACCCCAGGGCGTACGCGTACCAGACGAGACCCGGGACCAGCAGGTTGCAGGCGCGAAAGGTCGGGGCCAGCAGCAGCAGACGGAGACAACCCGTGTCCGTGAGCGAGGTCCATGAAAGGAGGAACCTTCACGTCGGACCGCAATATTATTATCCCAACGTGAGATCCGTTACGAAGAGAGGCTTCTGCTAAAAAAAAATATATATATATAGTTCTCCTTGTGATAACGGTATATAGGACCCCGAGATGCGGACGTAATTGGTTCTTGGACTTATTGTCCATAACCTCAGAGAACGTCCGAATTTCGGATCACGTTTTTGCATGGACTTCACTGGGGAATTATTTAATTGCTTCATCTCCTGCTCGTAAAAAAGTTCGGAAAAAATAGCCCAATGAATTGAATTTTGTTTTCAACAATTTCAAGATGCACAAAATAACTGTTCAGGAGAAAAACACGAAGAATCTGATCTTTCGGCATGCAAAAAGAAACTTGACAAATAAAGACCAAGCACAAGTCTTTCTATAATGTGCACAGATGATGGAAAAATCTCCAGACAAAAAACAGTAAGAATTGGCCAGTTTTGGATTTTGAATCAATTTAAATTTACAATAAATGTATTGTCCATTTTTTTCGAAAATGAATAGCTAAATTTTGTTCAAGAGATATAATCAAAATTATGAAAAATAAAGTAATTCAATTTTATACAGATATATTGGCAAAATGGACTTTTTGAGACATTATTGTCCTGCTGTTGAGGAATTTTTTATTCCAGGTGTGCTTAAGTCGAATCATCCATGTGTTGATGCATCCGTATTCCGGGGATCCTTTGTCATTAAAATCACAAACCGTTTCTATGTACTATGAATCTTAGGTGTGCAAAAAAAAAGTGAAAAATTGGTATTTAAAAATTGGTTAGAAGTGTGACCATGAACCGGGTGATTCACCGAGTTCTCAGAATTTTAGTGACAGTATCTAAGTTTAAAATCTATCACTATAGATTATTTTGATTTTTTCAAATTGCTGCAATTTTCCATTGGGATGCATGTTCCGAATGGAAAAAATCTCCACAGAATTTTAAAAACGTTCTCGTAGAAAAGAGTAAAAATTAATTTTGCTAAAATATATGTTCGAATCAAAGTTCTCGCTGTACCATAAATTTTCAATAATTCAAATAACACTCTTTTCACGTGGGATTCGTTTTTCGTATGAAATGAATCATGGAAGGATTAAATAAACAGATTTATTTCAACTTGTGAAAGTAAACATCGTAAAATTAAATATATTTGATTCTCTCGTATTAACACGCGGCGGAATATCTTTTAACAGAGGAATTTTTGATTTTCATTCACATTCAAAGTAAACTAAAGTTTATCAAAGTACAGTATATTAAAGGCTGCTCATTTTCCGTTCAGACTAATTTTATTAAATTCACCACACAGAGGAATGCCTATCTTAGGCATCAAAATAATCCTGTAAGAATTAAATAAAAATGGAAGTAAAGGAGTGACAGAAACGAGGCACTTCCAAGCTTTTCGGAAACTTTCGGATTAGTCAACTTATTTGAAATTATCGTGCATCTAGTATAAAGCCGTTTTCGTGTCTTCTTTAGAGTTCTATTTTATATTCAGTTCAGGTATGCTTTGGTTGAATTCTCGAATTCCATTTGTGCTTCGAAGACATTCCAAAGAAATTCCTCGATACCGCATTGGATGATTAAACTTGCGGTTTCCTGATGGAAAACTCAATCTAAATTTGACGAGGTGTCTAATTTAACCGCAGTAATTCCATCTGAGACGCTTCGATTTAAATTTCGTTTTTCACCTAACGGTGCCCTCGAGAACTTTCTTATTGGAGAATTGTGTGGCTTCTGTAAGATGTACAGTATATATGCGAGCATTCCCTTTTGGGATGCTTACGGAAAAATTGAGGCATAAATCTTGACACACCTCGCATCAACATTCTGAATTTTGCATGAAACACCATTTTTACTCCTCGCGTGCCTTGCTTCACTTGTAACTGTCACAAAAGTGCTGCTCTTTTCAGCGCGAGTCATCATCTGAAAAAAACTGATATTCAGTTTTCTGAATTTTACGTAATCCCTTCAAATACAGTATTCAAAATTACTCAACTGTGCAGCAAACATTCGAAAGCAATTCACCATTAACGAGGGCAAAACCACAAAATTATAGCTTTTATAGGACGCTTTAATTTTGATTGATAATTTTTTTTAAATCCGTCAATTTTCTGAATCTGGGTTTCGGTTTCACCTTTCGCATTGAATAAGAGTTTCAGGCTCTTTTTTAAGCCGTCAATTTTCTGAATCTGGTTTTCGATTACAGCTTTCGCATTGAATAAGAGTTTCAGGCTTTTTTCATTCGCATTCAAGAAAGATATACCCAAAAAAATGTTACAGCCTCTTATTCTCATTCAAGTTTCCATGAAAAAGATTTGAATTATCTAGAGATTTCTCAAGACTTTCCGAAAAGTTGAAAAATTTCCGAAGTGAATGCACTGAAATGCGATATAGTTTTCAGGTAACATCAGGGAATCCTCATCTTTTTCAAGCGCTGAATGACTTTTCTGTTTGTCTTATTATATTCAGACTATTGACCTCGAAAAAAATTGCAAACCTAAGTAGGAACTTCGCAGGTTCTTGATTCAAAAACTGACTCTTAGTATGTACAGTCAACAGAGGTTAGTTTATTATAGTCGTGCAGAAAGAAGCAAAAAAAATTTTTTTACGAACTGTGCAGCAAAATGATTTATTGAGGTCGAAAATTTTGAGCAATTTATTCCCAGAGATTATCGAGGAACCTTAAAGAGATAGCAACGTGCGGAAGTCAAAAAGTTATTTTTTTGTCATACCCAAAATGTGGGCTGGAAATGCGTTACGTCATAAAAGGCTTTACGATAAAGTCATGCATAAATTACCCAGAATATTTCGAGCTGAATCACCGAAAAAAATTGAACTAAATGATTTAACAGATTGCGAAACTTAGGCTCTCAGCTTCTTGTCAGACGGGATACGTGATCCAAAAATTGGGCGAAGAAAAAAAAATATTGCAAAAACGGTTTTCCGCATGATTGAACCTGAGCCTTTTAATCAAACACTTTCGGGGACCCTGTACTTAATTTTTTTGCAAGACACGCGATAAGCGAAAAGGATTTAGATTCCTGCATAATTCGATTGAACCCCGTTTATTCGAGAATCGAGAGTGATTCCGAAAATTTTCTCCGTGCTGTCTTATAAAGCGAGTAAAAATGCTTTCTTCTTTTTCTTTTCAAAAATCGGAAAAAAATTAGAAGGAACAGCATCTAGGAAGAGTATCAGTGCTTTCATTTCGGCTCTTAATTACCGGATTTCCGACTCGATGGACGTAATTTTCCCACACTCATTTTGTATGCTCATTTGGCGACTGTTCTTCGGGTGCTCGAGAAAATTGAAGAGGTATTTTTTTTTCGGGAAGCAGTCGAGAGGAGAGACAAATAATGAAACCTCTTATTGGCACTTTCACTGCTTTATATAACAGACATTTCGCTTTTCCTTCAGCCGGAATAAATGAGATGAGACTTCTACTGTGTGATTGTGTTCTGTCCCGTGAGAATATTACATATGCAAGCTCTCGGAATATTTATTTTTAAAGCAAGAAGAAGCAGCTCTCATAGGTTTTTTTCAGTGCATCACAAAAGAAAAAAAAACGTTTTTCTCATCGGGTGATTGGAGAAAGAAACCAAAACACAAGCAGCATCTGCTGCATCGATTTCCAAGGTTCTGAGTTGGAAAGGTTTCAATTTCAGATCAGTACTGTACTCAATTCCAACTTTTAGGACGGCCGACGCGAAATAAATGAGAAATATCGTGACACAAAGCGGCTATATTGCTGAATATGCGATTGAATTTGCATTCAATAATTGTTCGAAGAAATTCATTTCCATTTTCTTTCTTTTTTTTTAGCCTCCTGAACTTGCAAATTCTTTCCCGCCAGCATCAGCAAACCCGTACGAATCATTTTTCAAAGCCTCTGGAAGACCTTCGTCTCCTGATGCCTGGGCTTCGTCTGAAATCGACTTCTCACCTTTCGACCAGAACTCTGGATCAGGTAAAAATGTATTTTGTTTTTCCTGTTTGGCAAGAGAATCACGAGTAAATGAACCTTCAACATCAAGCTAGAATAACCTTTTTGCGTGAGCTCTGATATTATAACCATCAAGAATCCATTTCTGTGAATATTTCAGGTGTATTTTTTTAATCGGGGAACGATTCGTGGAAGGACCCCAGAAAATGACCCTCTCATGTCCTTGTGATGCAGAAAAAAAAAATCATAAAAAGTAAAAGTTCGGGGTATGAGTTGGCTTTCTCCTTGACGAGCAGGAAAAGTGCCCAAAAATTGGTGTTTTGTTCAAATACATAAAAAATTGAAATAGAAAGTTTCCCGGAACGAAAGATAATAATTCTGTGTGAGGAAAATGTCACTGCTGTCGGTCAATTCCGCTTGCAACATACGCTTATTCTTGCCGAGTTCGTTAAAATTCGCTACACAGCAACTGTCAGACTTTATACTTGACGGAGGAAATTACTCAAATTTTTTTTTCCCGGAAAAATGGTTCAGATGCAGATGAAGAATGAAAGAATCGCACAAATTTGTTTGCAATCATGTCGAGGCATTTTCCAAACAACCAAAAAACCATTTTCACTTGACTGCTTCCGTGTGCAAGTCTGTTCAATTTCCTCAAGATTTTTTTTACGGCATTACGAAAATACATGATCTGAATGACGTCATATGCAGCATTAATTCTGCTGAATGCGTCGTGGGAATTTCTGATAATTGTGCGAGATTCCGCAATGAACTCCTCTGAATATTTTCTGAATTCAGAAGACGGAAGGAATAACGTGTGAAAAAGTAACGAAGTCTCAACCAAATATCATATCATACGTTTTTCTGAGATTTAAAAAAAAATTGTAAATAAAATTTCCTTTCATAAAATTCTTCAAAAAAGTGACCTCCAGCAACATATTAGTAGAATAATGGCTCGTCTGCACTGGTCGTATTATCATCGTTAAGATTATTAGGAAACATTCATCGTGTCCAAGTACTACGTTAAGTTACGTGACACCTGAGCACTTTATTGTGACAAATCAAGTACCAAAGGCATCGTAAGACCGTACTCGATTTTTTTCTCTTCACCATCATTCAGCTGATGTAATCGCCAGGACGTTGAGCAGGTTTTTATTTTATTTTTGGTCAAGTTATCAGGTGTATGAGTACGGGAAAAATGAGTACTGCCACATCACTTTTAACGTAATACCCACTTTTAACGGGTTCATTCGAACCCTGTTAACGTAATAAATACACTCTCCCATGAGCTGATGAATTCGGTAAAATGTGTGCGAAAGTAATTGCCAAAAAAGGATTCTCCTGGCATTTCTCGGTTTCCGTCCTCTTTCAACTTGCTCCTTGTTACATACGTTTTTGTAATTTTTTTTACCCTGGCTGATGACTGCAATAATTGAACGCAAGAACAAACTTGTCGAAAGCTCATCGAGTTCGGAGATTAAGGAGTCATTGTACAGTATATAAACCGAAACGAATTTGAGCCTCAGTCCATGAAGAGGAATGATTTCGAAAGGTTCGGTTGCTCCAGCTTTTGTGGTATCCGACTCCAAAAAAAAGTTGAACTAACCACTACGATTCTTCCTGAATCCAGGCCATCAAAAGGATTTTTTCCCCATGCTAAAAATTAACTTTGTGTCGGGAAACCGCAGAGTAGTAAATCTTGATGGTTGTGTTGATGAGGTGAATAAAAGGATTGACACTCCTGTGTAATAACTGGATAACAGAAGACTGTTTAATAATCTCCAAGCACTGACAAAAACAAAACTCAAGTAAAAAAAAAAGGCGCCTTCTCTCTCATCTTTGATTTCAAATCTCTTGCCAATCACAAGACCTCAAAATAAAATAAAAAAATTCCTACGCAACCGCTTCTTGAAGGCCTTGAAATTGTGAAAGAAATGAATAAAAGCGCCAAAAATCCATCCTCTAACAGAACAGTCTGATTTGAAACTTTAAACCAATATTTAAATAAGCTTTATTGGCATGTAAAATACCAAGGGTATCTTATTGAATTTTTATTATGGTTTATTGAATGAGTTTCATGTATTTCTTACTTAATTAGGGAGCAGAAAATTTATTTTCAATTTATTTGAAGCAGAACTTGGTTTCCTTTTTATCTGAATATGCAAATGTTGATCTGTGATTTTTTTATCACCAAAATATTTGTACAAATTATTTCCATCATGGTCAACTAACATTTTTTATCAGTGTAGTCGATGCAGGTGCACAATCAGTTATTTTCAGATCAGTTGTCAAATGCAAATCAAAACGTGTCATTCTGCCTATAATATAAGAAGATATATCTGGATTAAAATACTTTTTTTTTAATTTAAAACACTTTTCAAGCACTTTTCACATATTCTCAAATGCACCCTGACTTCCCTCAGAAATGATGCATTAAAAATCTCCTCAACTTGAAAACTGTTCCTCTCAAACCTCCATAAATTAAATTGTTAAGGCATTTGGCTAATATTTTCTTGACTCAGGAAAGAGAAAAGCAATGAAAAAGCAACTTGATGTGTTTTGAAAGGAAATGAAAGGCTAATTGGGCAAATGAATATGAATACCCAAGCTGCCTCCAAGTTCAGGATGCTGTAAACTCATCTAAGAAGCAATTTTAGGCCCAGAATATCACAATTTAAAATCTCCTGCAATTCTTAAATGTTTCCTGCAAAAAAAGGCTTGTTTCCCTTGATCAAAACCTCCCTAACTTAAAACCACCCTGATTTGAATTTTTTGCTGGTCCCTTGAAATTTGACTGAATACCATTAATGATCCAATAGATGCCAGTTTCTAATCAATGTTGGTCTGAAAGGGGGTTCATTCAAGGGAATGCTATCAGGCCTTTATAATATTTGCCAGGTCAAAGAAAAGTGGGGGTAAGCAAACAATTCTGGTCATTTTATTGACCCTAATAATCCTTTCCACAATCTAGTCTTAAACACTCAATAGTGAAACCCTTTCCCTTTAAACCTTTTCTGACACATACCTGTCTCATATCCAAAAATCTGGAAGTGGGAAATCCAAGCTTTTTTCTCATCTTTCCCTTGTTTTCCCATGAATTTTCTTTTCATCTTGTTCCACACTTGCAACTTTTGTAAATACAGTTGAACCCTGTTAAACCGCCCCCCAATTAACCTCCACCCTCGCTTCCCGCCATTTTTTCCTTCCAATCAAATCTTCTCAAGCTTGAAGGGATGGGAAAACCCCATTTATCTGCCATCCGCCAACCGCCAATGTTTTTTGCCAAACAAACAGTATCTTGGCACTATTTTTTCCCCCATAAACCGCCAATTTTTGACTCCTCTCTTCAAAGCTTTATATTTCTGGTGATATTTTTTACAATTATTTGTTTTCTCAATTTAAAGATGCAAAGAATGAGAGATTTATGTCCCCACAAAAAAGGAATGAAGATTCATCTTCACCAAAAGCAGGATGGGGAGGGATAGAGGTTGAAACATTTTTTTTTAAATATCAAATACACTTATTCATTAAATACTGTGGCAACCCCTCCCTCATTAAACCACCAACCCTGTTAACCCGCCAAAATTCTGCTGCACAAACGTTGGCGGTTTAACGGGGGTTGACTGTAATTGCCAGTCTCATAATAGATGCTGGTCACAGGCCTTTATATATATCACTTATATTTATAGTGATATATAAAGGCCTGTTGGGGGGGGGGGTTTGAATACTTGAATGCTTTAAATAGATTACTGCTGGGCATTATTGGACCATATAAAATGCATCTATCTATGTTTACATTAATTTCTTGCTCCTAATTCATGATGTTGTTGTGTTCTTCCATCTATCCAAAATGCAATATTCGCAGAATTTTTCAACATTTGACCAATCTTCTTTTTTTTTCCTCTCTTCGTATATATTAGCTCTGGGTTACACTATTGCGTGTACGGATTTCCATGGACGACAAGGCAGATGCCTGCCATTCTCCCAATGCACCAGGTTCTCCAAGGAAATTGGCACATCTTCCGGCGAAGGTGCTTGTGACCTCGGCGAAGAGACCGTCGGTGTCTGTTGCCCAGTTGTCGACTACGAATCCAAAAACCGAGGTCAGTCACGTAGTGCTGCAATGCATGAAAATGACCCCCAAACATACACACACCCTTTTGACCCCACAATCTGTCTCTGGAATGAAGGAAACGTGATAAACCACGCAACGTGAACCCATTTTATATGCTATATTTTTTGTTTTCAGAGGGTCAAGAGCGAAACCTATAGAAACTAGTCCGAAACCTTGACTTGGTATATAGCGATTGTTCGTGTATATACGTGAATGCGTGGTAATAATATAAATTGTTTTTCTTCCATGGCGAGGGTAATGCGATGTTAAACCAGGAACAATTTGTGTGTCTGAATTTTTTTTTTTTTTTGGCCGTAGGATCCGATTGATGGCAATGTTTTTCATTGCGGAAATGTTCCCTTAATACTGTAGTGGCGACCTTTGATCTTTCTCACAAAATTATAATCCATTTCTATGTTGGAACAAGGAAGTGCATAAGTTCTAACATGTGATTAGGTACATTACCGGTATGAAGGCGTTTCTTATCAATTTCTGAGGCATGAAAGCGGAAATGATGCTTGTTGCTGTATATAAAGGCCATGTCTCGAATATTCTTTGATTACTGTGTATGGTTTCATATGCTTGTCACACTAATTCGGAAAGTGATATTTCCGCATAATTTTTTTAAAAGAGGAGTTATCTCACATTTAATTTGTGCCTATCGTGTTCTGGCTGGGAAATGAATATAATGCGTTCACCTGTGTTCATTTTAGGATGGAAATTTCAGTAAAAAATAATTGAAGGAGGGTTCATCCATTTTTTTTTAGCTGTTCTATGATTTTTTTTCTCATCTATAAACGCCGATAATTGGGAAATTATTTTTTATTTCTAGTTTCAAATTGAGTTAATCTCTGCGATTATATATGAGACTTGTAATTTGGAAGTTTGTAGGGTCACAAAAAGTCTCAATTGTTTTTCCAATTGTCCCAAGGAAATATATTCACTTTGACAAAATTTATACTTGAATCGAGGTGTTCCAGTCGGTATATGCAAGTAGCAGTTTTCGAATCAAATTTAACCCATTTCCACGTGCCCCTTTCAGCTGAAATTTTCCAAATTTCTGTCGAATTGACAATACAATGAATATGAATTTCAAAAGTTTTGAATCACGTTAAAATCACGTTTCAATAGCAATCCGGAAATACTGTACTGTGCATTAATTATATATGCAACAAAACCGAGCTTCGTTTTCTCAGGTTTCATATAGCTGCTAAAATACCTGAAAACAATCTTCAAATGATATGCTTTTAAATCCCTGGAGAAAGTACTTTCGTGTCTGTGTGAACCTTTTTCTGGTTTCTGCATCCATCTGCTGAGATCGAAGATGATGCTTTATTATGCTTGAGTGCAGCAGCCCGTGAAAGCCCCTAATTATACTCAGCAACTGGGTCATGAGACCAGAAATTCTACGTTTCTCGCCTCAGGACACCATTCACCGTCTGGCACTTACTTGTGTGATGAATTTTATTTTATTTTTACCTCTGGATAAAATAAAATAAAATGTCTGAAGCCTAACAGTTTGATTCGTCACGAGGTCTAGTTTACTGGGACACCAAGAAAATGAGGATCCCGGGTGTAATTTATTTTTTGTATTTCTTGGTTCTTTATTTTTCTTCTTTGGCTTTCCCTTTCCGGGTGGAAAAGATGTATATATGCTTGAGCATTCCAGATGTGGGTAAATATCAGCACAGGAAATTCTATCCATCACAACTGTCTTTTCCCGTTATACTTGAGCTTTCCAAAGCGTGTATAAATGCCTATACACTAGAAAATCTTCTCACGGTTTGGTTTCAAAGGAAATACCGGCCTATTTGCTGATAATTTTTAGTACAAATGGATGGAAAATTGCTCAGACCCTTTTTTTATTTGCCACGCAATAAACAATAATTTCAAGTGCATGTGTTTGATATCATTCATATTGTTTCTGTCCTGTAACTTATTTCAATGCTTTTTGAAGCATTTATTCATGAGAGTGCACAGCGGAGTAGGAAAATTCAGACCAACTTTCACAACGAACAAAATTAATGAATCAATATTTGAGCAATGATGAATCTGAAGAACGCACTTGAATATAAAAAGATTTAGAAGACTTTAGAGGGTTTTCGCCAACCAAAGACAGATTTTATGAGTAAAACACAACAATCAGCCCATGAGACTGGTTGGGTGCCTCCTTATAGAGGCTCCAAGAAATTGACAGCTATATGATTGAATAACGTTGTTACTGGTTATTTGGATGCCGGTGGATTATTATATAACATTCAATTACCAGCACCACATGCCACAGTCCCCAGCAGAAGGAAAAGAGTCATCATGCGACAGTTATATTTTATTCACGCGCTTATTATATTGGCCGGAATTTTTTCCTTAAGAACTTTTTGAAAAAAAAAATCTTAGTGCGGCCTAAACTTCAGATACATTTGAGTGCTGAAAGCCATAATATATTCTCACGTATGCAATCCACATTCTAGCTACTGCAATTAATGTATGAAAGAACTAATCACTTTTTGTGTATCCTGTTCGAAAATTATTCAAGAGGTGTGTGTAATGTCATGTAGAATGAAGTTTTGAAATATCGGCGCTGCATGATGAAAATTTTTATTTTTCTCCATTTTTTGAAATTTTTGTCGGCAAAATTTGCAGATTTTTGCTCAGTATGTAAGTTGAGTCTTAATGATACTGTATGTTCTGAATTTAGAGTGGATGAAAAAGATATATTTCTAAAATTATTGGTCAGAAATCCGTGTGTGCGAATTTTGCACACGATTATTTATCTATTCCCCTCTTCTTGCGGGGAAAATTTTGCGAAAGGGCCGGAAGAGTTGGTTACTTTTTCCTGTTTCTGGTGATTAGACTTGAATGATGTATTTTGTCATGCTTCAATGGTATTGCCAATAAGTTCAATTACCTGCGGGGAAGGCATTAAAAAAATCCTTTTCCTTTTGAAAGTCCGGATAAGAATCCCATTTTTTCCCTGCAAAATCATAAACCCTGTTGTCGAGTGATCAAAAACGAAAAAAAAGAAAGAAATCGTTATCGTTCACGGCATTCTTTAGGCTACCAGCATGTTATAAACCCGTGATGTAAATTTTATGAACGATTTGTCTGAAAAAGCGTCCGCCACGGAAATAAAACCGCCATCTCGAAATTGCTATCCTAAAAACACGCGTAAATCAAGTACAGTACGTTGAATGCTCTTGAACTTTCGGGCGGGAATGAAAGCTACTTGTAATAAATATTCGCAGTTTTTTTTTGCTCGTTTGAAACAAAAATTATACTACAGTTTCTTTTTTTTCTTTTTATGACAAGGTCAAGAAGTGTTGCTGCAGACAATTGACTTCAGCAAGGCCTCAGCCCCGGGTTTGTCTCAATACGACGTGGACGAGGCGTGTTACTCGGGACTGGCAGTGTCTGACAATTGGTCCTCAACTGAGAACAGGTTGTTGCAGGAGAATGCCCAGTTGACACCATTGACACCTGCTTACTATCACCACGGCCTGGTTAGGGTTCTCACGCAAGCAGCAGTCAACAATTCGAGGTCTGCCATCGCCGGAATGGCCACCACGTTGCGACTCATCAAAGAGTGAGCAATCTTTTTATTTCATTCTTTGCTATATGCACCAGAGCACCTTATCTTCTTATGTCCAGCATTTCAGATGGATGGAAATCAGCTTAAGAAAGATTTAAAAGTACTGAAATTCAATGAAGAGACACTTTATGAAATCTTAAAGGATCAAGATAAACTGTGGGCCTTGCATGATTTCTCATTAAAGATTCTCTCTAAATTTATCATTCAACTAAACCTCATACAGAAGCAAGCTGAAGACCTTGTGCTTTAAATAAACTTTTACTGCTACTTTGTTTTCAATGTCAGGAAATGGGAGCATGTATGCATACATGTCAGATGTCCAGTTTTATTTTGTGGAGTGTGTTCTCTTTTGGTGAAACTTCTCGATTGGAGTAGAAGTCAACACATTCGAATTCGGATCAATTTCTTGCACAAAATGTTATATGATCGAAAAATTTATCCCAGGTCTTATTAACATTTTCTTCAATTAAAAAAATTGCCGAATAGCAACCACTTTGCAACTCAACCAAGAATGAGGATTCTTCTTTATTTAATAGACAGGTGAACTCCCTTTATAAAAAAATTCAAGGGGTCAAAAATTCTTGTAGAGAGAGAATTGTGTTGTAAAACACCCATATGATTGGGGGAGAGAACCCGCCATGCATGGGTCTACAAAAAATTAGCAGTCAATTTAGCAACAAAAGAAAACAGGAGTCAACAGTTCAAAGTCTACCATTGCTGGAATGGCAACCGCTTTATGACTCATCCAAGATTAAGCAATCTTTTTCATTTATATGTTTACTACAGGTGGACTCTTTCTGAAACAAAATTTAACCCTTGTGTGCCAAATTTGGGATATTTTTGCAAAATTGTGTGCTATATCAAGCACTTGAAATTTTAAAAATCCTACTTTTGTACCAAGGCCTAAAAATCAGCCAAAAGTCCAATATTTTTGTGTAATCCTGCAGAAAATTTAAATGAAAAATAAAAAATCCCTCACTGGGTTGCATTTTTTCCTGCATTCCTGGCATAATATTAGCAAAGAAGATTCCTGAAAACAATATAAAATTTTCCTCCCACATTTGATGGCACTGTGGAGTGATAGAAGTATTGCCACTGATTCCAGAATGTGTTGTATCAAAGACCAAGCAAAAAGAGAATGAATGCAGTGCAATAGCCATTAAATGAGAGGAAAATTATTGGGGTTACTTCCATTGAAAAAAAATTACAAATGGTTGACCCTCTTCAAATCAAATTTCAATAAACCAGCCAAAAAAAATCCAGTTGGTTTCAAGTCAGAGAAACAAGCTTTTTGTTGGGGGAAAGAAAAGATTACAGGAAATTGTAATTTATATGACATTCCGGTCCTTGAATTGTTTTTCAAACAAACTATGCCAGGATGCTGATTTTTACCTATAGGCAAGGGTTCAAGTGCCCTAAATAGTCTTCAGTGTCCTTTGGAACGCATTGACCTACAATCGTTGCTTTCTTTATTATTTCCGGCAGTGTTATTTAAAGAAAAGACAGAGTAAAGGTTCATGAAATCTTCATTACCACCAGCAGATGGAAGATAGAACCCATAAAAATCGGCTTTAATGTTTATCCAGCCAGGAAGAAATCTATAGAGGACATTTTCGACTTTACGAGCCATATCTAAGCCATAAAAACCACAGACAATTGAAAAAAGTGTACAAGGATGAAGCTCATAGGGTTTCAACTTGAGTTATTGCACTCAGAAACGCTGAAGCGAATGGTTATTCCCATATAATCGGGTTGGGTAAGACTACGCCAAGCCTGACTCAAGGCCTTGGAAGTTCATCGTGACTCTATATATTTTCGAAAATTTCAGCCAAATTTTGGGCCATGAAGAAATGAAAGGCTTTCTCTCCGCGAATTTCAGGCAGAAATTTGCCCCTGAAATTCCCCATAAAAGTCCTTATGCTTTTCAACGCCGCTTTCCAGTCTTAAATTAACGTCTTTGGAAAATTCAAAATCGGAATGTGCTTTTTACTGTACAGTGAGACCCCCACATGTGGACGCTTCAACCTGCGGACAATTCGACATAGGGACACTTATTTTCCCAGAAAAAAATCAACAAATAAGGCCTGACATGAGTACACTGACTCAACATATAGGGACATTTTGTGATAAAATTGCAAATACATTTTAGTTCTTGGGCATTTCTCTCACCAAATTACCATCCCTTTTGCTACTTTAAAAAAAAATTACCTCCAACATAGAGGGACTTCTACTTTTTTCACTTGAATGTTATTTTTGTAGATGCCAAAATTCCAGTGTACAGTACAGAGATACACTATTCAATGCTCTTACTGAGTTGAAAATGTATTCACTAATTCAAATTCAAGTTGCAAACAATTTCTTTCAGGGTATTCTGAAGAATATTTCTTCCACAAAACACCAATTAAAAATTATATAATGTAACATTTTGACTTGGGGACACTCTTGATGCACCAATTACGTCCGCATCTCGTCGTCTCACTAAATAGTTTCTCAAGGGTTTTTTTTTCTTGTGTTCCAACAGAAAGAACCTGAACCCTGTGGAAAGTGGGTTCGCTTTGAAAGGCTATACCTTGGAGGAAACCATACTAGCACCGAAATGTCCCTTGCCCCCGAGATGCCGGAGAGAGTCCGAGTTTTACAGAACGATTGATGGGAGCTGCAACAACCCCGAGAACCCGACCTGGGGTCAAGCCAAAACCGGGACCCAACGTCTTCTGCCCCCTACATACGAGGACGGTGAGAATTCGCCTTCATGATACACATGCAATTTTTTTTAATTTTATTTATCAAATATTCCTGGAAACTATGTGGCGTCACGTACATTCCACGAATAATTGTTAGTTATTCAAGCTAGAAAAAGTATTCCAGTCTCCCATGCTGATGCTGGGGTATAGCGTAAAAATCTTCGTAATTTTTCAGACTGTCTCAAAAACGCAGAAGCCGGTAAAAGATTAATATGACAAGTATTTTTTTGTCTATCGTCCTTTCGAGAGCTTCAGAAAATTTCCCAAATGTCAAAGCCTGGATTTACGAATAGAAGACAGACTAATTTTTTTAAATCGCCAATTACAAAAATTTTCCAGGCTTTCTCTCCAAGAGGATGGCTATTATTTTCATTGCGGCATTAGATGAAAACACAACGCAGTATCGTTTTAGTGACCAATTTGTAGACCAGCAATTGAAATCAATGCCGTTCCCTTTTTGTGGGTTCGCTTTTATTGCTTTCCGCCAATTTTAGAGCGAGTAAAAATACCGTACAGCGAAAGATTGCACAAGAAACTTACTACAAAAATACAAGATTAATGAAAACTACTTATAGCAGAGCATGGAAAAAAAATGGAAATTCCACAGCGGAGCATCAAAATTTCAAAAACCCATTATAGCCCGGTGAATTCCTTCGTTTTTTTTTTCTGTGGCAAAAATCGCGTTACTGGTGGTGGAAGCTCGGGTTTCCAACAATAAAAATAAGGAAAGGGTTTTGGGACGATTTTGCAAAGAGTTAATTTTAAATAAAATATTGCTAATTATTTTGATTTTCTCTTAAATCAAATGTTGCGACCGTTTTTTTTTTGCCGGTTTCTTTCTCAAATCAAATGTTCCGACCTTTTTTTTGCAGGAGTTTTTGCTCCAAGGAGTTTGTCAGTCACTGGTGAGCCTTTGCCCTCGCCCAGGGCTCTGAGTGCGTCCATCGTCGGAGATATTGATAGACCGCACCCAATTTTCACGAACCTCGTTTCCGACTGGGGTCAATTCATTGACCACGACTTTGCCCGCGCCGGGATGTTCAAGCTGGGTGAGTAACTTTTTTTTTCTTCAAAAAATTCACAAATGGGAGATTGCAAAATAATTTTCGCTTTAAAATGAAATTTGAATAAGATGACGGGAGTTTCCGAGGGGAACGAAACGGGATTATGGAAAAATTATGTTTTTAATTACGTCACATGTATGAGACGATTTGATAATTTGAGGGTGCAAGTGCACGAAAACACAATCTTTTGCATAAAAATTCCTTCTGAAATTTCAATCCAAGAAACCCTTACAACTGAGGTCAGTTATATTCCTCACTCAAATTTCAAATGTTTGAAAACATTTGAAGACATTTTTTTGAAGACACGTTCGAAGACTGTTTCCGAAAAACTTGAATTTTCCGAAATGCGCAAAAAAAATGTGAATCAATTTCGAAAAAAATACCAAGAATCAGTGCAGTAATCATATTCACAACTAATGCATGCGGTATCTGGTCCGTGTATTTATTCAAAGAAACTCATCGCGTAAAATTGCATGGCAAGAATAAAATAGGCTCAGAGCAGCGAGAATCAAAATGTATTTTTGAGATACTGAAGATGAAATAACCGTGGCAATAAATTTCTCTGGGTTAGCCGCCAGGCTTTTGAGAATGTATAAAAAATTTTAAGAATGGCCGGTTTTATTTCTTGGTTATTTTAACTCACCGGCTCCATAAATTTACGACGCTGTAATCCTTCTTTCAATGTCAAAATTTTTTTGTTTCTGCTGTGAAAAAAAGTTGAAAAGTTTCAATTAAAATTTAATTCAATCTGAAATTTTTCCCCTGAAGGTCATGATTCCTTGTTTGTGAGGAAAAATTTTCCTAAAAATTTAATTGAAGACGTTTTACGACAAGATCGAAATCTATCCATTTTTCATCACCGTCTGCCGGCATTTCTGATTCAGCGTGGTCAGTTATTTGAAAATCTGGATTTCTGAGGAAGGAAATAAATGAAAATTTCAATGCTAACTTAGTTTTTACCGGCGGACGAAGATAAGTTTTCTTCATGTTGATAATTTCGAAACTTTATTATGTATTAGACCGAATCTGATGAAGTGTGTGGAACATCTATATAAAATTCAGGCAATCAAATGTTGTAGGCACAGAAAATATTCTTTTCACGTCAATAATATGACGATATAGAAATTTCCCCGGAATTTCCGTCATGTTTTCTGAATTATTTGAAATGCTAAAAATTGTATTTTACAAAATGCGAAAGTAAACATTTATCAAGGTATTCGTCGAGGGTGAAAGTTGTCTTCAAAAATGTAAACACAGTTTTAGTTTTTTTTTAAGAAAAAAAATTTGAAAGGAATGATAAGGTGTGCAGAATTTGTTTCTCAGGGCAAAGTCTGCAAATTATTATTCAAGGTCCATCAAGGGAAGTTGTATTCAAGTCCCCATTATTTAAGAGAAATAAATCTTCCGGGGTAAACGAAAAATAATTATTTGCGTGAATAAACCTGTTCATTTTCTTTAATTGAAGCATTTGATGGAGAGTGTTTGCCGTTATTTCTCAATATATATATATAGGCGTGGACAGAAATCAGCTTATTAATGTTTTTCCATCTGTTGGACTGACCCATACTGCTTCATATATCTTTGAACATCGAACAAAGGATGCTTATTTATTTGAACAAAAACAAGCAATTATTGGTACTGTATGAGAAAATTATACGTATGCATCAACTGTTTTATTTATTTGAAATATGAAATACTGTATATATAAATAGCGAGAGCCAGGCGTTATCTCTCATCGTAGAAACCTTCGTCGTGATTCGTTTCCTGGTACTGTTTTATGATCACTTGTCAGTCATGCTCACATATATATACTGTATATACAGTATGTACATACTACAGTACTATACACGATTCACAAATTTATTAATTTTTTTTATTTCATGGACTGATGTTCGCAGATGCCATGAATAACACTGCTATCAGATGTTGCAACGAAGGTCAGTTCATTGATCCTTCGCCTCACCCGGCCTGTTTGCCGATCGAAATCCCGGACGACGATCCGTTCTATTCCCGATTTGACCAAGTATGCATGGAATTCGTTCGGTCTCTGCCAGCCTTCGATTGTCGTCTCGGTTACGTCGACCAGGTAATAAAAATACCCTTCGCGGTGCTGTACTCATTTTATAGCGGAGGAACGAAAAATCAATTTTTTTTTTTTTTTTTGCTCCTGGCGCGGGATGTGAATATGATGGTTTTTTCTTTGTGTGTGTGTTTTTTTTTTAAATAGATGAACCAAGTGACGCATTGGATAGATGCATCTACGGTATACGGATCCGAGGATGACGTGGCAGCAAATTTACGACTGTTCAGCAACGGGCAATTGGAAGTGCTGACCACTTTGGTAGCGAGGCCTTTGTTGCCCTTGCAGGACGCTGATGGAGGTGGTTGCACGAATGTTACTCAGAACCGACGTTGTTTTGATGCTGGTAAGATGCAGTGTTTTCATTACTTGCGTAATTTTCACACTGGAAGCAAATAAGAAAAGAAAAATAATGAGGAGATCTGTAGCTATGCTTTGCATGGGTTGGAAGAAGAAGAACAGAATGCTTCATTTTCCTCTTTTCAGTGTTCACAAGGTTCATTCAACATTCCCATATATTCAAACCCCCTCCCCACATATTGGGCACAAGTGACCACAATATAATTTGATGTCAAGTGTTTTAGTAAATGAATGAATAAAACAAGTAAATCAGTCCAGGACTGGACCGGGATTCCTATTGGAATTCCTACGTTAACAGAGTAAATTGTATTTTGGATAAATACACAAATAAACGACTTCACGAGCTTGGGCTTGTAACAAGGATAACTTGATTAATGCACAGCTGAATCTGAGAGAGTTCTGGTAAAGGGAGCAGCTTATATTAACAATTATAACACAAACCTTCACAAGGTTTTAATGTAGAAATCATAAGGTGAAAAGCTATTGTCAAGGATGCTGACTATTGCTATTGTCATGATGTTCCTGGCACTGCAATTTTGAGGAGAGGGAAACAGCTCTAAGAATGAGGTATATTAAAGTATTTTATTGTACGCAGCGTGCATGCCCAACACCACACAGCCCAACCCAAAATGCATTCAATCACATGTTGTAAATATGGATACCAAAATAAAAGAAAATACATTCCACAATATACAACTGCATAACTGGAATGTATACGCGTACACCCCTTCTTTTTTTGACATTGAAAACAAAATATCAGTAACAAGAATTTAAACATTAGGCAGAATTATTGCCATTGTAGCAGTTACTGAACCTGGTTTAAAGCACAAGCTCTTCAGTTTGTTCACAGATAAGGTTTAGTTGAACAAATAATTTAGAGAGAATTTTTGATGAGAAATCATATAAGGCCAAAAGTTTATCTAAATCCTCTATGATTTCAGAAAGAGACTTTTCATTGAATTCCAATACATGTAAATCTTTCTCAAGATCATTTCTAACAGTATGGAATGCTGGGCATATGAAGATGAGGAGGTGCTCTGGCCATGCCCCCAACCAATGTATTTATGCTGCAGGAATTACACCATTTATATACTTTGGGTTGAATTTCAAACTCTTGAAAATAGTTGACCGGTGAATAAGGACCCTGATTGAGACATGAACTCAAGACTCGTCCTGACTCAAAAGTCTCAAAACTGATGCTGATGTGATTTTTATTGGGGTATCTATTTCATTGAAAAAAAAAATTTGAAAAATAAGGATGAGTTCTATCTGCTTTGTATGAGATATTACCCTCCTGAAAGGAGTTGAAGGGTAAAGGCACCTGATTCAAGCAGATCCTCTGCAAAATGAAAACCTTTCAGCATACCAGTATTCCAGTGAGAATTTAGAAAGGGATTTTCTGTGGGATTTTGTGATATTCTTCTTCAAATAATGATACTGTATGGAGAAAAATGTGAAGTTCTAGCTGCTTTGTATTGGATATTAACATCTTGAAAGGGGTTGAGGGGTAAAGGCACCTGATTGAAAAATTTATCAATTATTTCTCGTCTTTTACTCAAAACCAACGTTCTTCAAAAGAATCGTTTCTCTGTATGTTTGTATTGAAAATAAATTCGAAAAAGAAAGCTTTTTAGCAGCTTTGGATATAGGATATTTCCCTCCTAAAAAGATTTAAATGGTAAAGGAACGATATTTAAACCTATAATCTGCAATCAAAAAAAAACTAAATGCAGCAGTACTAAAGGGAGGATGGAGATGGTGATGATGTTTGGTATGATTTACTCATTTAAAATCAACATTAATAAGATATTATTTCCTTGTACAGTACTTGTGTATTATTATTGAACGTGACTTTTCAAGGTTTGACTGTAATATCCTGACTTTACCCAAGTTTCAAGCGCAACTTTATGCACAAACACAAAAAAATGAGAACACGTGTGCATCTTCGTCGGCTACAAATTTTCGAGTTACATTTTCTGAATATTTGAAACTTTTCTCCCCACTTTGAATTCTTTTTTATCTTGCAGTACTCTTCTTTCTATGAAACAATAGTATGACCTTTGATCTCGATTTTAAACTGGGCTTGCGTTTAGATTTTTACCCAACTCCGATTTTCAAATTGTAATTTTGTTACTGTAATTGAGAAAAAAGTAATTCATAAAAACAGAAAAAATGAGAAAATCGCAGAATGGAATAAAAATTCTGAAACGCAATCCGAAACTCATGAAACTTGAATGACGATAAAATAAGGATTTCGTTCTGATGGGTCCATCGAATCCATTAGGTTCGCAATAGAAGATTGCACGTCACTTCTCGCGGGGTTTCATGCAAATTTCTCGAATCCACGTAATCAGCCACGCATCAGAACATTCTCAGACAATTAATCCAGAATACAGTACTCAATATGTCCAATGCTAAAATGATCCGTTTCCCATCTTCAGGCGCGAGTCTGATTGAGACTGACCCATAATTTAATTCAGAACCACGTGTCTCATCACAAAAAGAAAAAAAATCAGTAGATTTTTAAAAAATAGTTTCACCCGACGCAGATTTTTAAATTGGAATTTTGGCGACTGAAAACCAAGGTTCGTGTTTCATGCGGGGATAACAATTTTTGTTTTGGATTAAAATAAATTTGTTTTTTGTCTCTCTTTTTTTTTCTAAGGTGACAACCGAGTGAACCAGAACGTGATGTTGGTGTTGTTCCACACGGTCCTGGTGCGAGAACACAACCGAGTTGCAGCGGAATTGCAGACCATCAACCCGCAATGGAACGACGAGCTGTTGTTCCAGGAAGCCCGACGAATCGTCATCGGACAAGTGCAGCACATCACGTACAACGAATGGCTCAGGTTGTTGTTGGGTGAGAGGGCCTACGAGGCCTTTGGTCTGAACCCGCTGGAACAAGGGTTCTCCACCGACTACGACCCGAGCTTCAATCCGTCCATCATGAACGAGTTCTCCACTGCTGGCTACAGACTGCATTCCTTGCCCTCGGGCAACCTCAGGTGAAATTACGATCCATCAGCAGTTGCACCTCTTCAGTAGCAGTAAAGTCGAATTCGAGGGTATTCGAAGATACCTTTTTTGATGTAGATCGACAATATAGAGTTAACGTTTTTGAGTTTGAAAATATATTTACTTGAGTATCACGCCCACCTTTTTTTTTTAATAAATTGGGGCAACAAAATGTTAGGAGCGCATCATCTATATAGTTAGTTGAAAATTTTCAATCAACGTTTCTGTTATAAATTAGAAAATTTTCTCCCAACTTTCAAAAAGGTTTGCTGAGTTCTTTATTTTAATGACATCATTATTTGTATTTCCATTGTAACAAAATCGCCCTTGGATTCGATTTCCAAGTAGACATGAATCTAGATTTTTTCATAGCAGCTTTTCAAAAAGGAATTTTTTTGCAGTAACTGAAAACAAAGATATGCATCTTATGTGGGAATTAGAAATTTTTCGGAAATTTTTTGCTAAAAATTCAAGGCACATGTCTAACTCGAAGGCGCGTGCAACTTGATTTAATACGGTAATTTTTGTAGTTTATAATGCATGAAAATTATTTCGGGTTCATTTATTAGCGGAGTTTTAATCATATGCTGATGCCCCACGTGCAGGAATTTAGCCAATTCCTTGTGTGAAGCATTAAAATAATTGGTTTCATCATTTTAGAGCCAGGGGTTATTCTAAAATATAGCCATAAACTTTGAATAAATCATGTCTCGGGCTTGAAAAAAAAATTACAGAAAGTCTCGCTAACAGAAATAATCCAGGAAACATCTAAAATTAATTTCTAAACGTAGTTTTCGAGTTGATAAAAAAACCCAGCATAAAAAAAAATATTGTTTTCAGAGAAAAACTAAAAATAGACCACATCAGCAGATTCCGGTATCATCATTTTTGTACGTCGAAGGAACCCCTGTTGCTTATTTTTTGGAACACGAAATGATGCAATATAAGCTTGTTCATCAACCAGATAGTTGCGTTGTCGATATTTCTAATTGCTAATTATTTCAATCCGCACGAAAAGCAGTCCGATTGACATGTGTACAGGAAGATTTGCGTTCGAGCACGACGTTTAAATGGCCTGGATAAAAATAAATTCCTTCGTTTGGATTCTTGCAAAACTTTTTCGGCGAAATTATCCAGAGCTTTTGGTGGTTCTGATGGAAAACAGGGACTGAAACAGTGGGAATACAGTATTTAAAGTGTTTCTCTATCTGCAAAAGTTAAAATCTTTTATGGATTTTCAGAATCGTTATCTCATTACATTCTTCTGCCGCATTCCGATGACTAGTATATTTATGTGGTATTGAAAAAATTGGAAAATTAGGATGCTTTTGATGAGCCGTTGATTTCAAAAATGTGTCAAAAATATTCTTGATCAATATATATATATTCTCTGAACTTCCTTTCTCGTTTGTTTGAATAAATCACCTCATCGGGCTTGAAAAAAATGGTGGCAAGTCTCACAAACCATCAGAATCGACGAAACATGAAATAAATGTATCTACTATTTTTTTTAATCGGAGCTTGAGAGTTGAAGAACAATATGACGTATTTCGAAGATGAAAAAAATTTTGCAGAGAGAAAAGTAAAAGGTGTATCTACGAATCAAGCATATATATCGCATACTTTCAATTCCAATTTTCTTCGTTCTTCGAATTTTTTCATATAGACCTCTGGAACGCGGACAGAAGAGAAGCACTGGTCCAGGATTATTGTTGAGAGACCTTTTCTTCGATCCCGTGATCGCCTTTTCTCCAACTGACTCGGAAAACTTCATCCGAGGTCTTGCAACTCAACCCGTGCAGCTGATGGATAATCTGATGTCCGTTGAGGCAAGTGGCTTTCACGATTTTATTCCTTTTTTTTTTCCGAATTATTATATCGTATTGCGACAAACGGTTTTTTTTTTCGAGCTCCTTGCGGCCCTGAGGGCTCAACAGACATTCCTCAGCTGTGTATCTGCAACTGCCCCAGGAAGCTCTTTAAAAAAAAAAGGCGTGGAATGACTGTCGATTTCAAGCAGTATCCATGTTTTTCGAATGTTGAATATTCAAATCATTGACGGTACTCGATTTTAAGCTGCTCTTTCCCAGACCAAAGAAAAACATATTTGCTCAAGAAATTTCTGACGCGGTCGATTTTCGAATAAGATATCCATAAGTCCCGCAAGTTGAAAAAAAAAAAAAGGTGGCCTATACATTTGGAACAATGTCTCAGTTACGGAGTTACTTGGATTAAAGAGATGAATTTTCGAGGTTTAAACTTCAGGAGTAAAATTTCGAGCATTGGTTTCAGTTTTCATCGTTATTCTGGCGGACATTCCAAAGCAACGTGAGATAATTGTTTTTAGTCTGAAGGTCTTCTGCTGGTGAATGCTAAATATATATTGAAATTTGCAATTGCTCCTCTTGTTCAGGCCTTTTATGGCGCATTTTTTTCTGAAATTTTCAACAACAAAAGTTGCGACCTGCGCAATTTTTCACGCGGAAATTTCTTTGTTCGAAATCGGACTACGGTCTTCAGTACAGTGTTAGTATCTTAGGATGAATAAAATAATAGAGATTTCGAATTTTTTTATGCACCCCAGGAAGATACACATTTTAATGCATACCGTAATTTTTTTTGCGTGATCTCTCTCTTTAAAAAAAAATTGAAATTTATTTGAAGGACTCGTGTCGTCGTAGTAAATTGTTTTCAGCGGGATTCCCGAGTCATTATCGATTATGAAACTTTGCCGAGAAAGAGCGGGCCATAGTGAAATTTCAATTCCCGAAAATCTGCCTCTTTTTCCAGTCGTGACTTGATTTCTTCTCTGTCTTTTCTGTTTTTACTTGTCTTTCGAAAATGGAGCAAAATTCTGCCTCGTCGTCGTTATGAAACGTGTTTTTCGGCGAAGAAACGTGATGTAATTACTACTTTTCCTCGGAGGAATTTGTTCTTAAGTCACGATCCTAGTTGAAGCGAATCGAACAAGAAGGTGGAGAGGAATTGGTGTAGTATTGTGTAACTGCTCTTCGTTTTCATTGCATTATTGCCTTTTTATTTTATTTTATTTTTTTACTCGGCACGTTTCTTATACTTGGGTTCCGTGAATTTCGTGTTGTACAGGTTTTCTTATTATTTCGTGGGTGTGTCACACTTTTACTTCCACACAGTTGACGAACCACTTGTTCGAGGGGAATAACCCGTTCGGCCTTGACCTGGCATCTCTGAACATCCAGCGAGGTCGTGACCACGGGCTGCCGACCTATAACTCCATGCGTGAAGCCTGCGGGTTGCCGAGGGCCCGTAATTTCAAGGACCTTGCAGACGTCATTCCTGCTAAGGTAAGTTCAACACATTTCATTCCTAGTGATTTTATGACGCTTGGAATTTTCAGGAGAATATTTTTAAAATATAAAGAGCTCAAAATATCGCAATCAGTGGATTTTATTGATGGGGCGAAGCCATTTTTGGGGCCCAGAAAAAGCCCTTTTTGTAGCATCAGCGATGGTTGTGTAATGAGACTCAATCAAGGGACCTTTAAATTTTTTTTTTCGGAATAAAAATTCGTTGAAACGACGTTCTATTGAATTTCCGAACGACTGGGTTTAGTATCCATAAGTCAAAGTATTGTTTAAAATTTCATGTTAAATTATTTTAATTTGCTGAGGAAAATTCTATTGAAATGAGCGAAAAAACTTTTTTTAACTTTCATCGTAGGCAATAATCCATCACATTTCGTTCCGTTCCGTTCCTAATGAGTATAATACTCTTGAAATTTTCAGATGTTTTTAAACGAACTCAAAATCTCGCGATCAATGAATTCCCATTTATGACTAAGCCATTTCTTGGACCAGAAAAAAACCCTTTGTAGCTACAAAAATGGTCGTAATGAGACTCAATCAAGTGACCTTTGAAGTGTATTCGGAATGAAAATTTGTTGAAACAATAAGGTACAATATATATATACAGCATTCTACTCAATTTCCAAAGAACTGGGTTAAGTGTACTCAAAACTCAACATATTGTTTAAAATTCAATGCAAATATATTATAATTTTGTGGGGAAATGCTTTAAAAGTGAGCGAATAAGCTTTTAAAATTTTTCATTGCTGGCAATAATTCATCGCAATTCTTTGAGGCAGAATTTACCTGTATTGCGTTATTGTTGAAAATTGTTTGGGAGACTTCTCCAAAATGACTGATTGAATTACTATTGCGAATCATTCGCCAATTACGATGCAATACAGGGAAGGGGGTAAAATTCTCTTCAACTCCTTATCTCCAAAAATTTGCCTACTTTTCCGAAGTGTGCTTGGAAAAAAAGCGAAATGAAGATCAATTAATTGAAAGGGTGAAGATTCGAAATCAGAAAACGAACTTCTCAATTTTTTGCTGAATAATCAGCACGATTCTCATAACTTGACGAATCTATTGTTCTTATATAGTTGGATTATAGGTTCTTTTATAATAAATATAAAAAGAAAACTCGGAAAATTGAGTCGACTTCCAATTCTTCAGAGATGAGTTTTCTTTATTTGCAATACGTATCCGTTTTGAGTGTAAAACCTTGAAATTTAAATTGAATATACTTATTTGTATACATACCTCGTGGGTAAATTGAATTTTAAATGCTTCGTTGATTAGGATATGTTATGCTAAATGTATTTTAATTTTTGTTCTCAAACTTCCATATTTTGTATTGGTATGCTTTTTTGTCGCACTTTCTTATTTTCGTTTGCTTTTCTTAGGCTGGATTTAGAATATTTCTTTAACTGTTAATTTTGGGTAATAGCTGCCTCGGGCTGATTTTTGAGCACATTCAATCATGACTCATGTGGTGTTTTTCGTGGGTTTTTTTTTTAATTATCTCAACAGGTTTTGGATAAGATGGAGAGGGTTTATGCTCATGTGGATGACGTGGATCTCTTTTTGGCTGGAATTTCCGAACGACCTATTGACCCTGACTCGTTTTTGGGTCCGACTTTCGCGTGCCTCGTGGCGGATCAATTCGCAAAGCTGAAACGAGGAGATCGATTCTTCTATGAATTTTCTGGCCATCCTGCAGCATTCACCAAATGTGCGTATACGAGCAATTTCACTCTTTTTTTAGGCAATTGTAGCATAGGAATTTTTGCATATAAATTACGTCGGTAGCAATTTTCTGCTACCGCGATTCGTCGCGGAAGATTTCGTGCCACTCCCGGGCACGAGTCGAGATAATAACTTTCTCTCAACCTTTCAACAACTTTTCTGGAGCTCTGGAACTTTTTTCTTCCGTTGAAAAAAGTATATTTTTGACACCCGAAAATATTTGTTTCGCCTTCAGCACAACTGGCTGAAATCAGGAAGGCGAGTATGGCGAGATTATTTTGCGACAACACCGATGTCGGAGAAATGCAGCCACTTGTGTTCATTCAACCTTCAAGACTGTGAGTTGCATACCTTCTTTTTTTTACAATTTTTAAACTGGATTTTTATGTGTTTCAAGGAATGCGAGGGATTGAAAAAAGTTTATTGCTTATATTCTCCTGGATGCAGCGAAGATTGCGCTGAGCGTTATTTCAACATGTTATTCCGTATCCAGATTTCTATGAATCTCAGGAGAAGGAAATTTTAAGCAAACCAACCAATCAAAGATATAAACGATTTTGGTGTTTATGAATTTTAATTATTCAAGCTTGCGTTTTTACCCTCATATTATCGTTATTTTAAAATGCTAAAGGGCCGAGGTTCACAGGTTTTTTTCGTTCTTTACTTTATCTAGAAATTGTATTCTTCTGCTGGTAAACAAGTTGATGAATCGAAATTCTTCAACCTTCTTTGAGATCATGATTACCAACCCGCTAAAGAAACAAAAGTCTTCCTGAATTTTATCTATAAATTTACTCAATTTCAGCTGAGTTATTTCAGAAATTAGAGAATTGCTTTAAAAATTATCAGATGGCAAGCTATGGAAATTTCTTGCATAGTCGATTTTTTAGGGAGACTTTCGTCGAGAAATTACGGCTTACAACAATTTTGAAATCGTCCTGTATGTTATTTCTTTATGTGCATGATTCTGCTGGAGATGATTTGGCTGGAATCTCGGTTTGCTCCTAAAAATTGTCTTCTTTTAAACAACACAGTTTTGGAAAATACTGAGTCTGGTGAAAAAAGGGAGAGAAAGCTTTTTGAAAACGTGGAATCGCAGCTGTAGAAAGGTTATATTCAAATCTGAATCCGAGGTATTAATTTCAAAAATATATGTACAGTACTATAAATATTTCTTTTTTGGCCTTCGAGGCGGATGATGGGAATTTGTTTGCCTATGGATCAGAACAGTAACGAGCTTTGATATCTTTACGAGTTTGTTTCGTATATTTTTCTGCCGACTAGCAGGTTCGTCGAGTTCATTGGAATTTTTTTTATCATGGAACTCATGTTTTTGTATTTGACTTTAGAAATCACAGAGTGAATTGCAATTCCACGGCAATTCCTCGCTTGAATTTGCGCCCTTGGAGAGACACGAGGTTCAGAGACACCGACAGCGACGAGAACCTCACCGATCGACGCACAAAAAATCCGCCAAAACGACGCATACCGAGGCCCGTTAGGACTCGATTGCATGCATAATTTTCCTTCGGCCATCTTGACAAAATCCACACCTTTTTCACTTTTTTTTAAAGAAGTTTCTTCTTGGCAACGATTTTTGGCTGTAAATTTCTCGTACCGGCTCCCATCCTCACCCTCATATTGCCCCGTTCGCAAAGTGATTTTAACACGCGAATTTTAAATTTTTCGTAAAACAATCACTGAAATATTCGCCACAAAAAGGTCCAAATTTCATCCATAAAAATTGCTTTGCAACATTTTTTTTTTCTGTGATTCCGTTATAGACTCGATCACTCGCGCGAAATTTGAGAATAAATCAAAAATTTGCGTTAGTTTTTATAACTTATAAATTTTTGATTGTTATAAAACGTTCGATCCGAAGGAATGCAGGATATTTTTTCTTGCGGCGAATGCTGGGAAGGTTGTTGAAGAAACGCAGCTTTCTCATTTGAATTCGACATACTTACCTGCGAGATGAAAATTGATTTCATGCCCACTTTCCCCGTTATTTTCAAATGAGACTCGGACATGCACTTTCGTGCTTCGAAGAAAATATTTTTCGACCACAAGTCTTGAATTTCGTCGACCGCAGCTCCGATATGAAAAAAAATATATTGAATCCCAGAAATAAAAGTGCCTCGTGAAATCCACTGTTTTCTTCGGGTTTCGCCAGAGCCCGACAGATTTTAACATTCGGGCCTTTTCCGCAACAAATTTTTTTTATTCAGCATTCTATATAAATTTTTCGAGAATTCTTTTTTTTTTTCAAAGTCCAGCAACTTTTTATACGATGACTCGGAGCGATTTGAGGCACCGATTTCTCAGGTTTTTTTCAGATTCGTTGGCTGGTTTTGAATTGCTTTTTTGTCCGGAAAATGTTTGGGCGACATTGCTCAAAAATCCTCAATTTCGCTGAAAAAGAAAGAGCAGCTATGTTTCGAAGCAAAGCTTTTCGCTGATGGACTCGACGACATTCCAAGAGAAGAAAAAAATGAGAAGAAAGTTCATCCTCAGGCCATAAAAAAAAGAAAAATCCAAATGATGATTTAATACATATTTTTGCAATCGAAGTGTCGCGAAGAATTTTGGTAGAGAAACATTTTCCGTGCTAACGACGTGGAGTGTGATGGTGATGATGATGATGATGATGATGAATTGTTCGAAAATGCAAGGCGAGACCATTTTTTCGGAATATTGAACTGTCTACTTCTTTTATGCTGCTTCGATTGTGAAGTGTTTTCTTCGTTTTTGCTTTTAAACAGTGATTGAATGTATCCGCCACACCTTTGAGACCTTGGAAATTTTAATTACCGAAACGGGGCGAATATTTTCCGTAAGGTAAAGGTTAATGGATTCGTAGCATGCAACATTTTTCCCGTTTCAACTCACTAAGGAATAAATAAGGTCATGGTCCTCGATTTTTCTAGCCTCTTATATTCAGTAGATATTGCACTACTCCATAAACAAAAAGGACCCCACAGACACGATTACTTTTCGCCTAAAGGTTTCTTTCCCGTCGCTTCATCAGGAAAATTGAAAGCTCCAGGCATTTTCACCCACAATAATTTTTCGCAGGTGACACTTCATCGCAATTTAATAGGTTCCACTAATGACGTAAGGTTTGGAAATTTCGACGATGATTTTATTTGCATCATATTTGTTTTGGGGAGATTATAAAATTTTTTAATTTACTTCGCAGTGCTGAACTGACGACCTTAATTTTGATCTGTTTTTTTTTTCTGACTAAAGCCAAAGATTTTTAAGGGTTCTGCAATTGTTCCTTTTTAGGTGTATTCTAACTCAGTGTTCTACAAGCCATTTTTGCCAGTCCGTGGGAAATTTTCAGCATAATATATTTTTCAAAAGTAGGGATAAACTTCTGTCATCTTCACCTTAAATTTTGAAAGAACAATGGCATCAGTTCAGATTACTGTATCTGATAAGAGTTGGCTTTTCTCCTAATAATGACTCAGGCAAAATTTTCACCTGCTGAAATAAATTGCTTAACCATAACCTTTTTTTCATTCTGAAGAACCTTTCTTCAAGCACGCCTTTCCAATTTTTTGATGACATTCATCTGTAGCTGAATTACTGGTGCTGCTCAGCTCAAATTTTGCAAAAATCAGAAACTTTTAAATACCTGTCATCACGTCTTTCGAGCAAAACTTTTTTGAATCTGAAAACATTTTATGAAACTCTTCCAGTTCGCAGAACATTTTTTTGAGAATTTTCTGGTCTGCGAAAACGTTTATAGAAATTTGCTGGTCCGAAGGCCGAAAAAAGGTTTGGGAATACTGTTCTAAATCACTGTGTCTTACTTCAATGCCATCTGGGTGTAAAGTTATTTGGTTTCATTTAAATTGCGTTTAATCTGCACATTTGAATGAGCAAATAAAGAAAAGCTCGCAACTTGTAAAGAGACTTTTCGAGGACCTTAACGCTAATTCATTTCTATATCTTCCTATAAGAGTACAAATTCAGGAAGTTTTTCTGTCCTGAAACGGTTTAACTTGGGTTAAAGAATAAAGTGCTGGAAAAAGATAAACGCAGGGCTGAAAGCAGAGCAGCAATTATTCAAATTGAGAAACGTTTTTCTTGGGTTCCCCGCAGAAAATTTTGAAATATTCGACCGTTTTCTTTCCGTCCCAAGATGAAACGCAAGTGCTGAAATTTAGGCGCAATGCGAATTGCTTTTGCTTATTTCCTTCGCAATTACGCAACTGCTTTCAACATATATTACACCGCACCCCGAAATTTTCCGCCGTCGGAGCACCTCGGGGCAAGTTAAAAAAAAAAAGCCCCCCCCCCCCCCCCCCCCCCCCCCCCCCCCCCCCCCCCCTGGGGAAAAGAAAAAAAAAAAACCCCCCCCCCCCCCCCCCAGCTATTAAAAATGCAACCCCATTCGCTCGATGGCCTTCTTGAAATTCCCAGACTCGGGTCGGAACTTGACAGGTTAATTCCTACGGAAGAAGGATCATTTACCCGATAGGACAATTCAATAGGTAATTCGGGAATGTAATGATCAGCTTTGGTTGGATTTCTCAGGACACTCAGGGATTCGTGATTCAGACCCAGCCCTTTAATATATATATATATTTTTTGTCAAGAGTGCCGCGCTTGCCTTGGCTAAAACAGCACTTCGAGATTGCAATTGTGGTATTCATGACGTGCTGGTGATAATTAGTTATCAGCGCTTTTTGATGTACGAAATGGGGGAAAATAAACTTGAACTACTTTGTAGCACGCGAGAGTACTTGATTACTGGTTACACATTCCCAGGAGGTACGCCGGTGGACAACGGGTTCAAGGTCCCCCTGGAAAGTATTTTCGGGGCTGGTTCTATGGGTACAATATAGCTTGAAGCCTTCCAGGTTTTTCTTCAGCATATCCCTAAAAAAAAAAAAAAGCTTCCTCTTTAAAAACAAGTACTGTGCTGCTGAAGGTTAAGTTACGTAAAGTACGTGGCGGAACAGAAATGGAATCATGAATATAGACTAGACTATAACTTGAGGCACGTTTTCGAGGGTTTTTCTTTTTCATTTCCTGTGTATTTACGATGCCACGTTTGATTAGGTTTATTAATCATTCAATATTGCCCCCTAAGTCAAGAAGGAAATAAAAGTACGTGAAGTACATTCGAAACAAATGCCCAACACACCAAGCGAACTACTTTTGGAAATTCTTGGGAAAAGGCTACTCTTTTCGGAATGGATTTTATACATTGGTTAGAAAAAAATTTTGGAAAGAGCATTCAGCCGAAATCATTTTTTGAAAAAATGATTGATTCGCCGAATCTCTTCCAAACGATGCTATATTTCATGTTCCACTTATATAGTTGCAACATCGTTCTATAGTTGAAAAATAAAAATGAACCTGAGAAAGGAATTTTTCAAGCGTTTTCTTGCGACGGTTG